AATAATAACCACCTTGAGATCTACATATTAACCCCAAAACTTCGATCCAACAGCTAAAATACTAAGTAGTTGACATCCATTTGTTATATAATTGTATGTACATCAAAATGATAATTTTTTTTTTATATATCATTGTATAATACAATAAATCATCTGATCATATGTAAGTTTATGAGCCCGTAAAAAGTGTCCTTAACTTACAAATTTCACATTCAATTCCTCTATAGGTGATTAAGCTTGTGCTTAAAAACCATCATATACTTAAATTTGGCACACTGTGATAAAAATCATTGAAAGATACTAGTTATAGATGTATGACTTTAAGGATGGTTCCAAAAAATCAATGATTTCAACAACATGCAAGAAAAGGCGCAAGTTAAATAAACTAATTATATTTAATGTAAATGATATGATTTAACAGGCATAGATTAAGACCTTAATAGTTATTTTTGCAATATAGGTATTTTACCAATAAAGAGTAATCAAGGCCTACGCAAGTCTCACATGCAACCCAACATATAAGTTAGATATATGCAATTTGCAAAGTCTTATTTGTATTGTATAACCTAATTACAATTAATTAACCAAAGTATTTATCCAAATACTTTTTAGGTAAAAATTAATTAAATTATTGGAATAATGTTATCATCTATGAGAAGGAAATAAAGGGTCCCTTTGGATTCGGAAAAGATGGAAGACCTGTTGATCTTGTCCAAGTAAAATTATAATTTTGTCAAAAAAAAAAAAAAAAAAATAATTGGTTGTTTCTAAATTGGTTGCACATGGCTTAGATAATGATATTCCTTTATCTATTTTCTCACTTAATTAATTAATTTCATGGACCCGTATCTATATTATTATTTAAAAATATTAGTTGTATGAATTGATCAGTAAATACTAATTCTACATAGTATTTATTTTATGCAATACAAATTATGGATCTCTAATCTTACTTTGATAATACGCGAACCATTATATTCCAACTTACCCGTACATCTTAAGTGTGACACAATTGATTTTTAATTAGAAATTAAATGAATATTTCATAAGATGATAAGAAAGTTTATATCTATGATTACCTTATGTATCTCATATGAAGAGTAAATGTAATTTTATTAACTTTCTAATTTAATTATTGAGTATTATCTTTCATAACAAATTTATTTATCATTGAAAATAATTTGGATATCAGCATTGGTACAATTTAGATTTGATGTATTGTAATACTGTATGTATACTAGTATACTATACTTCTAGGGTTCTCAAGATTTGAATTACTTAATACATTCAATATATGATCAATACAATGGCATAGTCATGTGATATTTCGACCAACAAATTATAAATTATAATGAAAGGCTTCTCGAAAAGTATTAAAAATCACTGGATTGTAACCTTTGATATAAAGTTTTAAGGGGTCTATTTATAGAGTTAGATGATAGACCCTTGACTTCTGAGGTTATTAGCATAATTAAGTAGCTCTTAAACAGTACATTTTTGTACGCATTTGAACCCTAATTACTATTTATGAGCATATACCATGCACGTTTGAGCATACATACAGTCTCGTTGGTTAGTGCTCTTATCATTGAGATTGGAATGGAAATTTCAAGGTGAATTATTCATGCATGAATCAATTGTCAATGTCTTTCGTTAAAGGATCAACTCAATTAAAAATTTAAGCTATTGGTTGAAGTCGATCAATGATTGGTTTATATACTCTAGCTATTATACCTTGTTACATAAGAAACATTTGAACTTGAAGTGCGATGGACCTGCTCATTCCCAATGCAAAATATTATTCTACTTGAAAATAGAGGGCGGATGAAATTTGAACATGTGATCTTTGCATGTGTCATATATACTGCGTACTAACTCTTGATATTATATTAAAATATTAAGTTGTTAATGGATCAATTCAACTAAAAGTTTAACATAATAGTTGAAGGCGAAGCCTATGATCTGATTGGTTTGTATTATCGCTTAGTATATATTAAGATATTGTTTAATTGAATGTAAGAAATAAATAAATAAATAATTAACTAATTATATTCATTGATAAAGAAGTTAAAAACGGATATTCAAAATGGAAGGACATACAAAATTAAAACAACTAACTCAATTTCGTAGGTGATAGATTTTTTTCCAGTGCTATGTAGGGAGTATATGTTTTATGTATAGGTAACTTGATAGTAATAAATGTGGATGATTAACTAATTTAGCTTAAGTAGCTACTTAAAGTCTTAAAGGCTAATATTTGATCAAAACTTGAGATCAAATCTCATTTATATCATGTCCTTGTGTTTTTTTTTTTAAAAAAAACCCATGTAGTAATGAGAAAATATTTTGGTAATCTTGAAGTGAGAGCAGAGTTCAAATTAAAGCTAATTTTAAAGCCTTTAACATGAGTCACTTAGCACATGTTTTCAAGTAAACTAAATATATTTTAGCGCAGTCACATCAAATAATTGAAATTAATCTCATATGATTACTAGGTCAGTTGCTTTATCCAAACCAATTAATAGAATGTTATCTTGCTAACGAGCGCCCCCGGGCGTTAGATAAGGATAAATTATATTGGTTGAAATGATTTTAAGTTTTTTTTTTTTTTGGGGGGGGGGGGGGGCTGTGAAATGGTATTAAGTTAAGAATTCATGACAAAATCAGGCATCGTTCGGTGTAATTAATGTTAATTTTACTCTAATATTTGCACTTTATTCTCTTATCTAACGCCCGGGGGGCGTTCATTAGCTTTTGCCTAATTAAAATTTATAATAAAATTTAATTTAATAAAATTGTGGTTAATTGCCTAAGTGGTGCATAAGTTTTTTTGTACACAATTACACTTGACGTATATTCTATTTTTCTCTGAATATTTGTCTTAGAACTAAAAAAAAAAACATTTCATGAAAGTATGTAGGCAATGATATTTGATATAATATTATATTTATATGTAATTAATTAGTCATCGCTTCTGATACATTTTGTATCTCACCAGGTTTAATTTAAGTCTCGAGATAAGACAACAAATTTAATTTCACTAGTGTGTCTTTCTATCAATTATAAAATTAAATCACCAAAAGATCGATGAGACTTAGCTTACTCTTCTTGTAATCATTCTCTTTAATCATCTATCTTCTTTCATAAATCATAACACTTACTTTTCTCTTTCCTCCTATGATTAAACTCTCTCATTAACTCATTTTTGGTCATTGTCAACCTTGCCCTACTCATATCATCAAAATTAAACGCATGATAATCGCCATCATTTGATGTATCTTCATGAAATTAATCACTAGATCTTTTTATTTCATCATTTCATTCACAAGACCAATCATCAATAGATCTTAATAGTACACTATTTATGCATTAATAATCATACAATATACTTAATCAATGCTAAATTAAGGTAGATTAATTAGTTTACAAGTCTAATTCATGCATGTATTGATATATGATTGGTGATAATCATGAGATCATATGATCAGGTACATCATTTGCAATGATTATTGGTAGTTGATCCCATGCTTCTAGCAATTATATAGTGAAGATCAAATCAATCTACTCTGGATTTTATACAATTAAGAACTAATTTTTTCAATATATTTGGAACATTTTTTATAAATTAATTTCTTCCTTTCGTCTATTAGCCAAAGGCGGAGCATGCATGCTAATAATGTACAATTACATTCATATATTGGGTTTAATTATTAACAGGTGGATATCTTACGTAGTACACCCTATAATTAGCTACTATATGTTGATACGAAGTATATATAGTAATATAATTCGGAACTATAGTAGGAAATCACATGCGAAATAAAGCAACTAATTAATTTTAATAAGTAGTGGCCGATCTTGGATTAAAAAATAAAGAGAGTCAATGAATATGATTGTATGGACCTCTAAAATTATATCTTATTTAAAACAATCATCACGAGCTGAGCTTTTATACACACTAGTATATACGTAGTTTAGACATTATATGTTTATTTTTTAATAATATCGTGATAGCTAAAATAAATCATTCAGAACCGGCTACTCTTTACAACTAACAACTTAAGCTTATCCAATCACTAGCTCTATAGTTAATTATCCATATTTTTTCTTACAACAATGAACATCTTTGTACCATCTTCCTCTAATATTTGATACCGGATTATTATTACTATTACTCAATGTTTATCACCATATATGTCAACGCTCTCGATCTCCTATATTATTAATACGTGTACATGTACATAGCTAGCTAGTAAATATAAAGATCATTGTGAAACGGATGTGTGTAACGCAAGCCTACAATAAATTTGAACTAACTCATGTAACTCATATATGCTTAAAGTTATCATACTCTGAAGTGCTATTTAAGGTACCTATTTTAGTAGTAGTGCATTTTTAGAGAGGTAAAGTAATGCTATTATAGAGGTTAGGGTTCAGGGTTAGTTACGTTATAGTTCTGGTTCTAACTGTACAATTGTACTAGTAGAGTTGTAGTCTGAATTTGTAGACTGCAATTTGGACTATCAATGTTATTTGTATATACTACTTATGTTATAATCATAAAATTCGAAGAAAGAAATCTTCATGCACCATGCCAATTCAATTAAATTACTACTTATATATATATTATGTATAACTTTTGGATATTATTTCTGAGATATAAAATATTCTAAAATACTATTATAAAATAATCATCACTACTCAATCAACTATAATATTGCTTCATATTAAAAAAAATGATGATAAGGGAATTCGAACACCCAACCTTTTTTAAAAAAGAGAGTTACTTAACCATCTAAGCCAATCATAAGCTATGTTATAAACATGAAAATAAATGTATATAATTGATAATCACAAGATCTAATTAAAGTAGCAACCGGTGCAACACCCGGGTTACACACTAGTTAATTATATTAAAGTTTTGTATTGACAAGCGTAATTAAAGAAACAAGTTAAGTAAAAAAGAATGGAGGAAGTATTGATTTCAAATAGTGGTGATGCTTATTATTATACGGGAGTGAGAAAGTGACTAGTAGATTAAGTAAACTAGACAAATAAAGAAGAATTATTACACTAATTAAAAAAGGCACTTAATTGTTAATTATTGCCTTAAGTGTGACCTGTAGTAGAAGGATGCGTGATCCGAGTATTTTATTGTCAAGGACACATACCCTCCTCTATTAAAGCAACTTCAAATTAAGCACACTCTCACAATCATCCCAACACAAACTCTCTCTTCATTTTCTCTCTCCTCTTTCTAAGCTACTCACTCTTAAGTCAAAGTGCTTAAGACTTATTAGCTAACTTCTCACTTACGACATACCTACTATATCTTCTTCAACCTAATTAAACCATACTATACTATATAAGTAGTATATATCATTGTCGTTATTGTTATTGTTACTGTTATTGCTAAGCACACGTGAATCTAAAATTATTATTCCTAGATGGAATACCTTGGCGGCATGAGTACCAACGCAAATACAGCAATAAAGTCTCCTTCGCCTAGGAGTAAAAGAAAACACAACCAACAACAACAACAAGAATCACCCCCGAGTACTATTAGATACTTGGGGGTGAGGCGACGTCCTTGGGGGCGCTATGCAGCCGAAATAAGGGACCCCACCACAAAGGAGCGTCATTGGCTTGGCACCTTTGACACCGCGGAGGAAGCTGCCCTAGCCTATGACCGGGCTGCCCGGTCCATGAGAGGCCCGTCCAGGGCCCGAACCAATTTTGTTTACTCTGACTCCCCGGCGGGGTCCTCAGTCACATCCATCCTCTCCCCGGACGACCAGTCTCACCTTAACCAAATCTTTTTCACTAATGGGCCTTCCTCGGCCCAAACCCAGCCCAACCCCACTGATCAAAATTTTTGGGCCTGTTGGAGTAATAATACTAATTATCCTCAGCCCATTAATAACAATAATTATCAACCTTGTGTTCAAAATAATAATGAAGTTACCAAAGAAGTTGAACTTCCTCCTTTACCCCCGGATATTACCTCGAGTTACAACATGGGCTTCGGTATGGGTTTGGGTATGGATATGGATATGGGTATGGGTATGGATATGAGTCAATGGGTCGGAAATGACCCGGACTTTATCGGATTCTCTAGTCACATTGGGTCAGTAGGGTTCGATAACATAGTTAGTACCGAACCCAATATGAGTGGTACAAGTAATGGGACGACCATTTTAAACGACAATAACCCGTATAATTCAGTCATGCAACATAGCCCGCTTTTTAGCAAGATGCCGGTTGTATCCGACCCGGTTTTCGACGGGTTTGACTTGGGTTCCTCTTCAGCTTACTTCTACTAAACCCTTTTTAATTTATTTTTTTTGAACAACTTTCTCTTTTTTTTGTATTTTTCTTTTAATTTACCACGTACTTTCGTTGGCGCTGTTTTTCTTTTCATTGTTTTTGGTTGGGGTTCTTCTTCATAGATAGAGTTTACAATAAGCAATTGTACCGAGCTCATCGACACCACGAAATCGAATGTCATTGACTACATACTAGCTTATCGGGAAAACTAGCTAATATTTGTTCATGATCACAAAACAGAAATGCAAAGCACGGTGTAATTGCTTCATTAAGTTTATTGCATGTATTGTAATATTTTGTTTAGTTTTCATACATTTTAACTTCCTATTATTTTCTCATCCTTGTAAGAATTAAGAAATTATACAACTTGGATTTTATAAGTTTAAATGTTTAATACTCCGTATTTATAAAAAGGACGTAAAGGTATATACGTACCCGACGTATTTATTTTAATATTATGTTGGAGTTAATAATTATATAAAAGCTTTTGTAATAATTTAATAAAGCTGCTAATACGCATAATAATTGTGAGGTGATTAAATCATTGAGTTGAAAATGTTAGTTTTGGAATGTTTTGATTTGAATGTGTAAGTGAAGAAATTAATATACGTGCATGCATGATGTAAGTATGATACTATTGCCACGAAAGCTTCGCAAGGATTCATGCACACGTCTTTAGCTATATTACTATTCATGAATATAATACATCCAATATTCTACTGTAAAATAAAATAAAAAGTAAAAAAAAAAAAAAAAAAAAAAAAGGTTTGTCCCTAGCTACGTAGTTAGTCCCTATCCCCCCCTCCCCCCCCCCCCCCAAAAAAAAAAAAAAAAGAGAAAGTATGCCACTTTGTGACTTTATGTCTTTATGATGAATTAATGGTACAAAATTTAATAATAATCATGCTAAATAACCTAAATTACATTTAGTTATATAAGAAGTATAATATGGAGGATTGGAACACATGTAAAGTAATAAAATGGCCAAATGGATATTTTAATGTTAGTCAATAATACAGTATATAATTTGAATTGAGGGTGAGGACGCGAAGAGTTGGAAAAATGTGTCAAGTCCAATCTTGCTTAGCTTGTTAAAAAATATACTTGTATTGATTATAATCCGTATTTTCGTAAATTAGTCTTTTAAAAAAAATCGATCCTTTGATTCAATAAGCTAACCTTTCATAAATTAGATGTTGTGAGCCTGTGAGGATCAAGGTTGTTTTTTTGTTGTTCTACCCGGTTCGCCCTTTGAACTAATTTAGATTCGGGATCAATTCTAGGTGGTTAGGTTTCAGTCCTGGGTCACAGTTGTGAGATGAGAGTAATGGTGGTAAATCATAGTATGATTAATATAAATTTTTCGTCCTCCGTCCTTGGATTGTATATATATTTGCAATACCGTCTACAAATAGTAAATTACACAGGGTGGCCTTATCTCCCAATAAAACTGTGGAGAATGCAAAAACAAATAGAAAAGAAAAAATATATGAAAATTTGTTAGGGAAGTAAAAACCATGTATAATTTGCAACAAATGATCCGAAAATGGCGCCAAGTCATAGAAACTAACACAATACTACTTACGAAACTAAACTGAATAATAACCGACTTTCAAAATTTTCTTTACTATTTTAAGTGAATTGTATTGTATCCTTAAGCCACGTATAGGTTCATCTTAAATCATAAAAACATTTTTATATTTCTAGTTTTATTCAATCTAGTATAAATTTATTTTACGATCAATAATTATTAAACTTATTGCATTTTCACTTAGTACCAAAAGAGATTAAAAAGATGGCACATAGAGCATCGGTAAGTTTTCTCTTATTTATAATTGTGGTGAATTTTTTTATATAATGTATTGATTAATTAGTTTGATTGATTAAAAATTGAACTTATTAATAAGAATTATGATGATGATAATAGGGTTGTTTATTGTGATTAATTTTGTAATTATTTGCAAAATGATTCTTTTGCCTTTTATTTTCAATTCCCGGAATTTGTCACAACTTTCTTCCTTTTTTTGAGGGGTCAAATGACAAAAAAAATATAATGATTGTTTTGTAGGGTTATTTGATGAGATCAATGATGCAACAAAAGACCCGATCATTCTCCACGGCTTCATCTCCCACTCCCAAATCTAAGTGGTAACATTTTGTTTTCCTTTTTCCACAATCTATTTTTTTTTTTTAATTTTAATTGTATTTGACTGAAACTATGTATGTTTTGACAATTGATTGGAACTTCATGTTACAAATTGGGATCTCGTACACCTAAATTTTAAAATGAGATACTTGTCCAAAAGATAACATAATGGAGGTGTTAAAAAGTTGAATTTAAATTTGATTAGTGAATATAATACTTGTTTAAAACAAGTTGATCAGAATTGTTCGTTCATAACCAGTGCTTAAACTCTATTTTGAAAGGAGGGGTTGATGAGATTCGAACTTGTGACCTTTGTGTCACGTTAGCCTTTGATACCATGTCAATAGACCATCTCAACCAAAAGTTTAAGTTGATGGATGAGGTTCAGAATCGGGTTATATACACTATCATTGTCATCTACCGTAGGCCAATGAATTGATGTATATGATAACATGAAATAATGCAGGATAAGGGCAGATTTCGCGCCCATATACATAGTAGCAGGATTTGTGGTGATAGCAGGGGGCATAGCCTTGCACACAGGTTATCAACAATTGGTGCACAACCCTAATGTTTACTTCAACAAGAAAAAGAGGGAAATGATCAATGAATTAGAAAATCCAATGCAAGCTGTTAATCATGGTGGTAGATACGTGGACAAATCTTTCTTAAGAAAGGTTGCTCATGTCCAAGATAAAGGCAAAGAGACCGTTCCTAACCTTGTTAATGGCAATATCTACACCAGGTTCGTACTACATACATACCGTCTCTATTTTTCATTCTTTTTCGAGTTTTAGAGTGTGTTACACTTACCACATACGCGATGCTACTTTCTCACAAGTCCTTGTACATGTAATTAGGCACCACATTGTCCACATAGATAAACAATGGAACTGCAACGTACACATCATTTTTTTCGTCGTATATGGACCTATTTACTAATGGTTTGATATATTGGTGTAGATCTAGGCATGCAGAAACTTTGGAGTCGATCAAGAGTTGATGTTATTAGATGCTACAAGTATTTGATCAACCATTTCTTAGAACACCATTTTGTTTGTAAATAACATTAAAGATCAGAAAAGGAACTATAGTTTCTTTCTTTTCTTTTAACTTTTTTTTTTTTCCTTGTTTAACAACATAGATTTTGAACTTTGATGTTAAATTATGGAAAAGACTTACTATGGGCTTTTTAATTATTTACGATCCAATTATGGTCTTTATTAGAAGCCCATTAAATTGTTAATGTTAGCAGGCTGGCCCATGGGCTAGCTTTTACGTCAAACTTACATTTCTTAAGACTGTTGCAATGCCGGAAAATTTTCCACTTTAAGTCTTTAAGCATTCTTTTTGGAGAAGTCTTCATTTATTTAATCAATTTGTTAATGCAACTAATATTTCTTCCATCTCCAAAATGTCTCATTTACCTTTTACACACGTTTTAGGTGATGTGAATATGAATTATACTGTAAGAGTACAAAGTATATATCGAGACAAATTTAACAATACGAAGTAAAATGGAGGTCCAATTGTAAGTCTATACCACGAACTATTCCTCATAAAAAGTAAACCGATAACATAAACTATGTTACTATGTTTGGTTGCTTGTTTCTTACCAAAATTGGTTTTGAGTGGGGAGCTCTTATAATTTGGTGGATTGCTAAACATCACCCGCAAATCTCCACATAAAGCCCACAAATCTATATTGAATTTACCTTATTGCCCTAAACCTAAAATAAAAAAATCTAACCCATACCCACACTCTAATCACCCGAAAATACGGCAATGTTGAGGCGGCAAGGCAAGGACTTGGCGGCCACAGCGGCGGAGGGAAGGACGGCTCACGGTGGCAGGGTTTTTTTTTAAAAATTTTTTTTTAAAAAAAACCAGAAGAGGTGGGGCGCCTGGCCAGGATGCCCAGCCCCTGGTCCCCGGCGGCCGGAGCAGACGCCACCACCAGGGGTTGGGCGTCCTGGCCAGGCGCCCTACCACTTTTTTTTTTTTTTTTTTTTTTGTCTAATATTTTGTTTTTTTTTGGAAAATCAGAATTCTTTTGTTAATGTTTAATATTTTTGTTTTATGTGTTAATGTTTTTATTTCTAATGTATATATTTTTTTTTAAATCAGAATTTTTTGTGTTAATGTTTAATTAAAAAAAACAAAAACTTTAAATAAAATTTAAAAAAAATTACAAAAAGTTTAAATAAAATTACAAAAAAAAAAAAAAAAAAAATAACAAATTACAAAAAAAAAAAAAAAAAAAATTACAAAAAGTAGGGGTGGCGTCTGGCCAGGACGCCACAGCCATGGTGGCGGCGTCTGGCCAGGACGCCACAGCCATGGTGGCGGCGTCCTGACCAGACGCCACCCCTACTTTTCGTAATTTTTCCCCCGGATTATCTCGCTTTCCGGCGACGATGACGGCTCTTCGGTGTCCCTCGGCGATCCACTCCAGCTCCACATTCTTCGTGAGAGTGAATTACGGTTTCGGTAAAAATTTGAAAAAGGGCAAAAGAGTCAAAGTAAAAATATTTGTGGGCTTTATGTGGAGATTTGCGGGCGACGTTTAACAAATCCCATAATTTGAGCTCATATAAAATAAAATAAAATAAAATAAACCAAAAATTCACTCTTTTTCCTCCTATAATCTTAAAATTAAGTTAAAGAATCAAAGAATTTTTTATTTTTAAAAAATTATGGTTTAAGTATTATAGAATTAATAAGATAAAAGTAAAAATAATGAGTACAAAAGATAGTAAGGACCACAAAAGGTGAATAAAGGCATGAGCAAGAAACAAGTAATAGAATGGCAATTAACGTGTAAAAGTTGTGGGTGAGTGGCTGTTAAACTCCAAAATTTAAATTTTGTTTGGTAGGCGGATATACTAATCTAATCTATTCTATTCTTAATACTACTTTCATCAGATCCAAGTCTTCTTACCTATAGATTATCTAATCTACCCAACATGTACTCTACTTTTACAAGACTCCTCTTTTGTCCTCTACCAACTTGCCCTTCCGAATATTTCCATACTCCAGTCGATCCTCTTGTACGAATGTTTGGATAAATTAGTTGTTGTTAACACATGTCTATAGTTATTTATCCACAATACTAATACAACTTCGGAGTATGAACCTAAATATATTGTTTATGGTAGTGTAATTTGAATTGGTGGTACTATTTATGGTAGTGTTAAAATACATGATTATAGGCTCTCTTTTTTTTCCTACTTTGGTAACCTATATTGCATATCAAACGGTTTTTTTTTTCAAAGTAATTTGTTAAACTACAACTATAAGCTAGAACCTCCTATGAACCAAGTTTCAAACCCCTCTAACCTATAAAGGGGTCACACTTTTCTTCCACTACACTCCTACAGCAGTATCACACATTCAAATTAAGAATCATCACAAGATTTGAAATTTCAGCCTTTCCTATTTCCATTACATTCATGGCTGGCCACTTAACGATTTCTAAAGCGAAATAGAGCAACGATCAACTAAGGGTTTATTCTACCCGTACTTTTGTCTGAATTTATCTAACCTGAACTTATATTTGCTAATTGACCTCGAATTAGCAAACCGCAACTAAGCCGAGCAAACAATTTGACAGCTCTACTAATAACGCCTAGGCCCTAGGAAGGCCTTGTGTAGGTATTGACAAGGAATGATATTCAAAGAAGCTCAAGTCCTAAGCAGAAGGGCATTTTCATAAAGAGAATTGTCGTCCTTTGATGCCCCAAATGCATGCAAAATCTAAGAGGGCGGCATCACAAAGAATTGAACATCACCAAATTTTGATGCCAAGATTTGCATCACAAGTTCGAGCTACATCTTAATCGAGCTCTCACACCAAAAATATATTTTTTGTATTTGGTCCCTAAATCACAGTTCATAGATAAGCTAAGTGTGGTCCAATTTTATCCTATTTCGACAGTGTAATTCTACATGAAAGGTATAACTTAAGCCTTAAGAAGAGGCGATTCGCAACGAAACATTTCATAAGCAATCACCCCTCTCATCAGCAGACATGATAAAAAAAATGGAGAGGACAAGTAGTTTTACACAAGAGGGCAGTAACTTACTGTCACAGCGTCATGTTACCATCAAATGAACAAATGATGCAAGGAGACACTCGAAAACAAAAAACATGCACATGATAGGAGAAGATAGACTTGCATATAAAGACTTTTCCAGAGGTTTATGAACTGGAAATCTGAAGAAAACTGAATTCTATTTCTATCTAAAGCCAGACAGTAAAATATCAATATAGTAGAATCCAAGGCATAGCAAAAAAAGCAATTGAATGCTAGAAATCAACTAGTAACATGTCAATTATCATAGTCATTATTACAGTATGATTGGATAATCGGCAAAAAATATCAAAGAGTAACTAATGAAAAGCAGCCAAAATGTTAGGGCAAATGACAAAAGAATGCAAAAGCCTGAAAGGTTTCAGGCGCGCCTTACCGGAAGACTCGAGAGCCCAAGAACAAATCTAACCATTAACAAAATGGGGCTCAGGCTAGCTCAACTAATTATATATCACTTGTTATGTCACTAGCACTCAACCCCGACTTCTGCTGCTCGTCGAGGCTTGTTTTTCCTCCTGCTCCCAATATGTCGAAAACCACTAGGCTTGGTTGAAATTTCTGAAACTAAGGTAGCTCCAACACTGTTTTCTTCTTTCACAGGACTTTGTTTCTCCTTTGATGGAGAGCTTCTTTTCCTCTTCTTACCACTATCAATGGCGGTCGTGATACTCGAATCCTTATTCTCACTGTCCTCCTCTTCTACCTTTCCTACTACATCTTCATCATCCACCTCATCCTTCAATGGCTTTTGAGGTCTTCCTCTTCTCTTTTGAGCAGGGATCTTCTCCTCTTCCCCACTACCCGGATCGTCGTGGCTCGTAACTGTCAACTTCTTTCCCTTCCCTCTACCTCTCCCCATTACTCAAAACTCCCACAAATAGCAAATTCAAGCAATGAACTGATTTATCTGTCAAAGAACAAGCAAAACCCAATTCCAATTTATCAATTAAAGCTCAATTATTTATATGCCTCAAATTTATACCAAAACACACATATCACTGAATTCAAATTGATGCAAATTAATTTTATACAAAGCTAAATCTCATCTTAGGAAAGACTTGTCACAAATTTACATGATATTAAGCTTAAAATCTAATCTCCCTCTAGTTTTTCCTTAGAAACAATTATAATATGCTTTGAAACATAATCAAATTTACAATATGATGAATCAGTAATCAAAATCCCACATGCAAATAAAATTACATTGATATTCAAAGATATAACATATTCTAAAACCCTCAAATCCCATTCAATATGATTCAATCTTGAAATCTGATTAGCATGTGATTATAAAACATAACATGCCATTAAAATTAAAAACAACATTAAACTTATAATAGAAACACAAAGCAGAGATTAGTGATTAAGTAGTTGAAAAACCTTCAAAATCTTGAATAAACATTAAAATCTCGATTATATAAAGAACAATAATGCATAAAGCCAACATCTTGAAATTAATAGCCTCACAAATTCCAAGAAAATAAAATTTTCAGACAATCAGCAAATAAATTCAATAGATCCAGAATTGCAAAGTAGTCAACAGATGTAAATTCAATCAGATGAACACAAAATTAATTCCCAAACAATAAAATTAAATTTAAAAACAAATACCATTAAACAGAGAGAGAAAAGGGGAGGAAACTAACCATAAACTGAATGCAAGAACAAATTTTGCACATATTCTTCACAAACCCATGAATTTAAATCTTCATAATCATTGAAATTAGTCCAAAAGAACAAAATTCCAGTTGAAAATCAACCCAAAGATTGAATCTTTTTTTACAGTTTTTTTCTTTCTGATTTTGCAAGTGTAATAATCAGAAAGAAAAACCCAGATCAGAAAAAGGGGAGGAAAACGAAGAAGATTTGTGAAAGATTCGAGAAGAATTTAAAAAACAAAAACAAAGATTGATTAAATGATGCAAGAAATGAGCAGCCCCATAAGAAGAAGATGAAGCAAAAAAAAAAGGAGAGAGAAAGAAGATAGAGAAAGGGAGAAGAGTGAAGAGGGGGATATCTTCTTCTGCTGCTGCTGGTATAGAAAATGTGGACTGTAATGTGTATTTTTTGAGGGGGGAGTGAAATTTGCTGCTTTATTTACCACTTTTTTTTTTGGAGTTTACTTGAAGAGTTGAAAATATTGTAGCACAAAAAAGGGTAAAGATTAGTTTGACTAGGAAATGAGGGTTGGACTTGGGGAGGAAGGAAAGAAAGAGGTTAACACTGTTTAAGTTCAATGTATGTGTGAATGGAGCTTTTGGAGTGTTGTCTTGTGTGGCAATAGTAGACCCGGTAAAATTGACTTGTTATTGATGATTAGATATATTAATACGGAGTATATTATCATATTGGTTTACTCGTATAATGCTAATATTAGATGTACTTCCTGTGTTATTATGTATGTGTTCATTCTATTTTACTGTATTTTGGTGTGTGTCTATATATATATATTATCATTAAAAATTATAAAATAAAATTATAACTTGTTATTAAAAAAAAAATATTAATCAAGACGATATGGCTAAATCACTTACTAAAGTCCTATCAAATGTTCAAGCGTTGTAATTAAAAAATAAAATCATTAATTCTTTGAAAAATATAAATAATAATTGAAATTCGACTATAAAAATCACAGATATTAATCATAAAGCATGTAAATAATTTATATATAGCATCAACCTTGATGGTTGGAAGCATGATTTGAAGAATAGAATAAATTCATTCTTAAAAGTTTAGTTGTTCTATGATGATTCTTACTAGTTTTTGCTTTATTTTATGGAGGTATATTCAATTAATCATAGAATACATCAAAAATAATATACTAATACTAACATAATCTTAATCAAATGCATGACGATTCAGGGTGGTAGTAGAATAGAAAACATAAAATAAACAAAGGAATTTTAGAACATCGAAATTTTGACAACTTATCTGCATAAAAAAAATATATTTCTTTTTAGGAGTATAATATAATGAATGATAGTGATGGAGTCATGGTCTCATGGAAGTTATCTTCTTATTTTAAAAATAAATCAATTTGCCCCATAAAATTGTCTTTATATAAAAACAAAAAAGTACGCTCAGTAGAGATTGAATGATAGCAAAATTTAGTAGGAGAATCCAAATAAGAGGTACTTTGACAATGATATTGATATTGATATTGATAATGGTATGGTAAATGAGGGGTTGCATACTTGCATCACTTGAACTCTTAACATGTTACTATGTAAGAGTGGATGAATGAGTGGATGAATGAGACGTGGAAATACTGTTTTACATAATACCTTTTATTTGAGGAATTTTAAAGAGAATATGATCAATTTGATATGAGATCGTTAAATAAAATAGCAAGACTAAAAAAATGTACTTCGTAGATCATTTGTTGTTTTAATTTAACAACCAATAAAAAGAACGATTTACAACTTGTGAGATAGTTAATAACTTTACTGAACATGCTATATCATTACTCATCTATGTGTTCAAAATTAAATAAGCTTAATAATAAAAGTGTCCATTACATTGTGTTAGTACACAAAGTATGAAGGTCAGCAAACCTAGGTAGAGTTTCCAGCTATTACAATTTTTATAACATATGTTACATGAGCTGAACACTTGAACTATTAAGGGTCTATTCTTATTTACTTAACTGAGTTGAACTGAACTAAATTGACCTTAGCTGAGCTGAACTGAATTGTTTATGAGAGAAGGAAATTAAGAACTGAAATTAAGAGAATGAACAGAAGAGAACAAGGCTTAAGCATACTGAGTTTCATGTAGAATTAGAAGCTAGTCAAGATACAAAATTTCCCAATAGATTCCCATCAAATTTAATTTTTCAAACAAAGTTGAAAAAAAAAACACATTAATTTTCACTATTCAAAATGTTTATACATGGCGATTAAAAATTTTAGACACATCTTATAACCGTAAAATTCACATAAAGCAATATTTAAAAGACGAAAGGAGTACTATGTAATAAACGACAACTAGCAGCGTTGCACACTAGTGTAGTACGATATGATAGATCTTGAGAGTCATACATATCGGCATAAAGTCGCAAAGTACTTTAGCAGAGGCAACACCCACAGATTACATTTAAGAACTTTCTAAAAAACAAAAATAAAAATAAGGTCCCACTATTTGTGTTTGATTTGGTTGGTGTTAAAGACTATGCAAAACTCCAGCAATTAAAGCACCCACGCAACTCATAACTTAACCTTCAATTCTAACACCTAAAATATTACTTCATTAATCAATGCATGGGCCTCTCTGCCTTCAGCTTAAGTCTTTTTTTTTTTTAAAAAAAAAAAAAAAACAAAAAACAAACATATAAGCAAATCTCAAGCAAAGTATCTAGCAGGTTATTCACTGAAATATAAAATATAAAATATCAGTTGGTAATTATGAAAGTGTGAAGAAAAATATCACATTTATACTGTATTGAATTAAGATAAAAGATGGTGTCTATGTCCAACCACATATAAGTTAAGTAGAGTTCGTTCTAAAACTAATTGACAATAGAAGTTTCCCGCTAGCATACTCGTGTGCTGGTCATTCTCCTTATTCTTCAATGTGGGACAACAATTCACGTGGGTTTTCCTTAATGATCTTCTGGTTGATATTAGCCTTCCTTAGGGGCCCTATCTCAAGGAATTTTCCTCATACCAATTAAATCCTAGAATCTTGATAAGCCGGGGAGCCTCCAAAGGACCCTAGTAGTGAGTTAAACATACAATCTCAAAGTCACAAGTTCCCCACTCCAATAGACTAAGACAAAATCAGTATATCACAGACTTCACAGTAATATGCTTGGGCTTGGCTATACATTTTGAAGTACTCAAAACTGATCTGCATCACATATTATTAAACACTAGAAACAGCAGAGTAGCAGACCACGTTTCACATTAGCTTCTATTCCAAGTTCCAAAAAGAAGTTTTTTGCCACCAGAGCCACACCACAGCACCACTGTCATAGTCTTGAACAATTTAACACTATACTCAATATTACCAAGACTCTTCGTACTGTTGGCCTATATGCTTGTTGGTCAAGTACCCGTGTTTAATCCTCGATACATGGAATCACCTGGCCACATGGGTATGAACAGTTGACACTTCATTTTAGAACAACAAGAGTTGTGGAACTCTTTTCATATAATAGTAGAGTGACAGTTGGGCACATACCTGTGTCAAAGCCCAAGTCTGGTTAATAGGTAATGAGAATGCTATCTGACATGAGCCCAAGACAAAATAATGTAAACATTGTCATAAATGTCATATACATTAGATCAGACTAATTCCAATGGACTAAAAAGGAAAATTCGTTGTTACATTTCATGTGATACAACTCATACAAAGAGCCTTTGCATATATTATCATTAAAATGTTGGTGTTAGAAAGATACGGCTTAGATTAACTGAGAATTGAGGAAAGGGAAGTACTTGTATAGTTGTATGAACTTTTTGCCTCTGATACAGTTTGACTGTTCTTGCACCAATCGATCGACCACAAATCAAAACCAGTATAATTTTGTACAATTTACAGCTCACCAGTAGCTAGCCTTTGGCAACCCTTCTTGTTGTGGCTCATGAGTGAGTGACATCTTTACAGCAACAGTCAAAGTCCAGCCAGCCTTGCCACAATTTGCAACTAAACTTTTGCGACATGCCTGCTGGAAAAGAGATGAAGATCAGGTGCTGGTGTAAAAAAAGTGCACAGACTTTGATGCAAAATTGCAATTAACCTAAATGCAAGAATTATTTAATTTAAATCTAGGGATTAACAGCAGAGTGCCTTACTTTTAATCAGTTTACTATACATCTATATGCTAAGCTTCATCCCTGAATCCTCATTTGTAGCAATGTCTTTGTGTCGTCCATCCTTTTGCTCCAAAGGAAACTCTTCTGCGCATAATGAAAATGAAAATGAACATTGTTGCTACTAATACACAAACAAAGAGCATCTTTATATGGGCAGTAATGTTTCCGCTCTTCAAAATTTTCACAATTATGTAACTCTAAAAATCTGATATCAACATTCAGCAGCAGACATTTGAATGTTTAAGAGAACGATCTCTAAAACAAATCCATCACTCCATCAAAGTATTTTCTGGAGAATCAGAGGAAGTAAATAAACTACTCCTATTAAACTCTAAATAGCAAGTAGCATTCACAGAGAACAATATTCATAAAAACTACATATAAGAACATTTTAATAGGTTCTACCTGGCCCATAGACAACATTATTTCTACCTATGACTTCAAAATTGAGTGATGAATTTCTCCTGTCTGTTGGCTGAAACCTGGCTTCTTGTAAACCCCTTTCCCCTTCATCAACTTCCTCACATTTTGGACTTCTTGCCACTCTTCTCCAGCCGCATGTATGTTTGACAATGTCACAAGAGCTCCGGGTTTCTTTGAGGCTACTTTCAAGAGATTGTCTGCCATTTTTTCAGCTAGGTCTCTTCTTCCATGTACACTACACCCATTGAAGAAAGCCCCAACAATTGATTCTGTAGCTTCCATTGGCATCCTTTTTATCAATTCATAAGCTTCTTCCACATCCCCAGCACGACATAAAAGGTCAACAACACAAGCATAGTGCTCTTTGTTGGCCTCAACTTGATATATATCTTTCATGGACCTAAAGATTTCCATAGCCTTTTCAACTAGCCCACCATGGCTGCAAGCTGAAAGAACACAAACTAAAGTCACTTCATTTGGCCGAAAACCTTGTTCTTGCATTTCTTCAAACAATCGCAGGGATTCATGAACAACACCGTTCTTCCCAAGGCATCCAATTATAACATTCCATAACGCAACATTTCTGACACGAGTTCCTTCAAATACAGTTCTTGCAGCTTTGACGCTTCCAGATTTTGAGTACATGTCAATAAGAGCACTAGCCACATAGACATTGACTTCAAGGGACAGTCTGTATATCAAACCATGAAGTTCCTTTCCTCTTTGAACTGATCCCATCAATCCACAAACTGGAAGCAGCCCAGTCACAGTTACATGATTGGGTCTGATTCCAGCTACTAACATGTCCCTAAACAATTTTAGAGCCTCAAAAGGTTGATTGCTGCGAGAAAAACCAGAAATCAATGCATTCCATGTAATCAAGTCACAACACAACCCTTCTCTAGTCATTCGAGAGAAAAGCTCGAGAGCACCATCGCGATCTCCACTCTGAGCATACCCATTTATTAGGGCATTCCATGTGAAGTCATTTGGCTCCAACCCTTCCAGTTTCATCTGCTCAAACAATCCAATTGCTCCACCAAGTTTCCCTACATTACAATATCCAGAAATCATGGACGTCCAAGACGCTACATCCTTACACAATATTCTATCAAAGACCCTTCGAGCATACTGTATCTTACCACATTTACAATACATATCAATCAAAGCATTGCAAACTAACACATCACACTCAAAACCCATTTTATTCATCACAGCATGAACTTCCATTCCCTTATTCAAATCCAACAAACCAACACAAGCTTTCAAGACAAACGAAAGTGTATACTTATTAGGTAAAGTTCCCATCTTTTGCATCAAAGAAAAACACCCAATTGCCTCCTCACATTTTCCATGAAAAGCCATCACCGAAATCATCCAATTAAAAGCAAAAACATTTGGGTTTAACATTTTATCAAACAGTTGGTGTGCATACCTAAGATTACCACAACTTGCATATACACCCAAAATTTTTGCATCCAACGACATTCTTGAAACATCAATCCCACTTATTATCAACATCCCGTGAACTTGCTTGGCTAAATTTGATGATTTTGACTTTGTGCAACGCTGCAAAACTGAGCAAAGTTCATCATATGACAACTTATATGGCCTAAACAATGCTGATAACTTCATAATAGCTTTGTTTTCGCTGGATTTTTAAAATTTCTGATAAAACCCAGATAAATTCATCTGACAGTATCTCATTTTAGCAACAAAAAAAGGGGGAAAAAAAAACACGAAAAAATGATGAAATAAGAGAGAGAAAATTGAAGTTTGGCGCCAAATAAAAAGTAAAAATTTAACGACGCCTGAGAGATTCGAACTCTCGCGGGGAAACCCCATGTACTTAGCAGGCACACGCCTTAACCACTCGGCCAAAGCGTCTATTGTTGATAATCATATCAAATTAAAATATTTAAACAATTATACTAACCCTATTTACTTACACATCCCTATAAATATGTTTTTTTTTCCTTGATTCAACTTTTATGATAGTATTTGGGTAATTATGTCATCTAAAATGTTTAATTACTTATTTGCCCTCATTAACGCTAATTTTATTACTCGTAACATATTTTTCCCCATTGTGTTGCTAACAACTGAAAGAACTCCCTGAAAATGAATAGTTATGACCCATACGTTAGCAACCCTAATATGAACAAAAAACGGAGTCATCTCTAAGTTGTTTGACCCACCATTTTTCGTATTGACTTGAATCCATAGAGCAATGTAAAATTGAAGAAAGCACATTAACTAAATTGCCACTATTGAATAAATAAAATAGGGAGGGAGAAATAATGAAAAAAAACGGGGTAGTCGATTATAAACATTGGTGGTTGAAAACAATTGAAATAACATTGATTTTCTAAAGCTAGTTGAGACGAGATTATTATTTAAGGGGAGTAGTTGGAAGGGTATATAGATCAAAAAGGTACTACTTAGGTTGCTCCTTAGTTTGAGTTACAATTAAGGTTTGATTTAAATCGACCTTATTTAATATTTCGAGTCACACAAGTCATTTTCAGGTGATACCTGAACCTAAACTCGTTTAATTTCATGTCGAGTTTGTGTCGATCCATGTAATATGCAATGAATCTGGTAAAAAATCTTAACCCAAACGTACTATTTTCAAGCAGGTTATTGAGCTGGATCAAATTTTACTAGTCCTAATTATAGTTTGAATTGAACTACTCTCCATTGCACATTAAACAATGTGTCAATTTTGAATTGTGATATTACACTAGTTCTACATGAAGCAAGCCTCCATTAATCTCCAAAATAACAAATGATGTTTATCATGGGACAAAATTGCCATATTTTGAGATAAAAATTATAAATGACACCAGTGTTTGCGGTTTCAGTAAAAAGTCACCAAACCAATTGCGATTTTACCTATTTATCCCCAAATTTTACAATTTTACTTTTACTATTAGCACAGGTAAATTCATAATTACCCAAACACCCTTACACAGTTACACTCATTTTTCTTCACAAACGACTCAAAGCTACCATATTGGCGGTCTCCGCCACCTAACCCTTTCAACCACCACAAACCACCATCTCTCTAACCCTAAATTAATTAATTGCAACAAATAACAAATACTTCAATTGTTCAATTGATTGTGAATCAGACTTCATTCCTAAATTGGCATCATCAGATCAACGAAATTATACCGGAAGAAATCGCCGGTTGCCGGAATCTCACTTTCCTAGACCTAATTTGAAGTGATGAAGGACAATTACGCGTCATTACTGGAGAGATTAAAGGAAAATGAGATGATTATTTGGCGATGATCTTGTGATGCAGGTAAATGCTGCCTAATTTTCGTTTTCAAATTCGTTTTCATGCAATTTTTGTTCTTTGATGCCCAATAATTTTGCTTAAACATGTAAATGGAGTTGCTATTATATATATATTTTTAATTTTATTTTGTGCAATTGTTGTGAATTGTGATGTTCATTCCTAAATTGTTTATATTTTATTTTTTATTTTTATTTTGTGCAATTGTTGTGAATTGTGATGCTCTTGTTTCTATTGATTTTTGGTATGATAAGCATCTTCTGAATTATAATATATTGCTCAATTCTGAAAACGGAAGTCCATTTTAGTATTTTAATAAAGCCTCATCTTGTAGCTACGAGTTAGATTGAATGAGAATTCGACAATGTACATGACAGTATAGTTTATCTCCGTTTATCACAGGGGGCAAAAGTGTAAATACTGGTTTCCAAAACCGTTACTTGAAACGAAACTTGTTTATCACGGAGATTGACTGGTGCAGCCTTGTATGGTAATAGAAATAAGTGAAATTAACCTTTATACCATTATTACTTCTGATACAGTCGAAAAACTAATTCAGAGATGGTTTTTAATTGTAGAAATGAGTGATACATGGTGAGAACTAGTAAAGTGTAACAAAGTAAATATGAAAAATAATACTAGAGAATATAAGGTCTTAAGGTTGAGTGGTAACTGTAAATGAGGTAGGACAAGGTGGGCTAGCTACTTTGGTCATACCCTCAAGCATCTGTATAACCCTTTTCATTGTAGGTCGGAGGCTTAGGTCTTCCTGAATACACCAAAGGGCAACCATTACATACCTCTCTAGGCGTAGTGTGTCATTAAGTGCATCCGTATCACCATCAACGAGGTATTCTAATGTGTTAGATTGATAGCAATCGAATGCCCAATCAGTCAGAATAGCTCCCTCCTCACTCATATCCATGCACACACCTCTTCGACAGCATATGATTTCTAATAACAAAACCCCAAAGCTGTACACATCCACCTTTACTGTGACTGGTTTGTTTCTGAACCATTCAGGGGCAAGGTATCCTTTTGTCCCTCGGACTGTAGTAATTGTTTGGGTCTGATTTAAAACCAAAAGCTTTGCCAATCCGAAATCAGAAATACGGGCTTGATAGTAATCATCAAGAAGTATGTTCTGCGGCTTTATATCAAAGTGAATTATTTGTGTGCTGCATTCCTCATGCAAATACAAGAGCCCCCTTGCAACCCCTTGCGCAATTTGAATCCTTGCAGTCCAGCTTGGCTTTAAATCACCGAAAAGATAATCTGCCACAGTACCATTGCTCATATATTCATATACCAATAACCGCTGATCTTCTTCTTGCAAAATCCTATAAATCGAACTAAATTCTTGTGATGAGTCTGACCAATTATATTCACTTCAGCTTTAAATTCCTTGTCAGACTCTTTATGTAACCGATCTAATTTTTTGATGGCTACTATTATGGGAGATCCTCCTGCTCCGATCTTCCCTTTGTAAACTGTGCCAAAAGCCCCCCGTCCTATCTCTTCCTTGGATCCATCTGTTGCATCTTCTAGCTCTTTGTAGCTGAAGCAATGAACGCTGCTATACTCACTAAGAGTTTTACTCTTCTGATTTTCATCAAGTAGTCTGGAATGCTTGTTATTATACATGCAGAAATTTCCCAAAACTATAGCACTTTGCAGAAGGAAATTAACAAATACAGAACCACCAAACAAGGCTGCAAATACAGGATTTCTCTTGTATTTCATTACTTTTTCTGGAGGAAATGTAGGTTGACTAGGGTGTTGGAACCATTGCCATTTTCCTACCTTAAGCCAAGCTATCCTATCTACTCCACTATCTTGTCTTCCATTGGAGAGTGGAAGCTTCTTCTTCCAGCAAGTTTGTGATTGTTCATTGAAAATGGCAACAGCGCAAAGACAATCATTTTGGCAAGAGCTCTTGCACCTCTTCACTGAAAGGTTGAAGCTGTGCATAGTCTGCTAATGGCCAATCAGTATATTGAAGCTGAATTAGCTGATTTGTGGTAGCACCCTGGCCATACTCATCACTATTGTATTGCGTGAAGTTTGGTTTGCAGCTGCTATATGTGTCATCAGGATCTATCAGAGAGTAATTTTGTGGGCAATCACATCTTGGTCTCTTGCCCTCATCACCAATGCTGCAAATGCTGTTATATCCACAAATGCCACTGCCAGGTGTTATGGCAGGTGACATGCATATGTTATCAGGGAGTGACTGAGTGTTGGACCAACTGACACCTTTGTTGGCTGCGAAAGATTTTGGGTGATTATACCATGTCAAGACCCCATCAAAATCCAGTCTTACTCTCTGATAATTAGTCTTAGCGGAGACTAAATTATCTGCTAACGTGAGATTAAACCTTGAACCATTCTTGATCTCTATATACAAATCCCCTGATTCGCTGTAAATTACTTTGTCACCAGCATTTTCTGGGTTTGCTTGATCACCAGTGCTAGTCTCATAGTAAGGATTATAGGCATACCCAGATTCTAGGTCCCTTGTAATTAGGACTAGGTTTCCATCATCTTGAAAGCGTAGTTGGAACTTTCCTTGTGTAAAATTTGTTTCTGATCGTCGGGAATCAATCTCGATTCCTACTTTCAAATTCTGGGTAGGAAGCAAAGTATCTGTAGGATGGTCAAAGCTCTGCCAAGCTACATCATCACTGTCACTACCTTTGAGCACAAAATTCCCAGTATCATTCATATAGCCATAATAACAATTCCACCACCACCTAATTCTTTAGTGGTATTCCATAGAGGGGTTCCTTGAGGGTCACTAAGGACTAGACCCTCATTAGCAGTTATTTTTACTCACGACCCGGGTTTAACGGGGTTACCGTCATATGCATGCCAAACTATGGTGTCAGATGGCATGCAAGAAGAGATTTTTGTTGTTAGGAAATATATGAAAGCCAAAGGCAAAATCGCCCAAAGGCGTAACCAATGAAGAACCATTGCCGGTGGCTGTGAGGGATTGGCCCACTGTTATTTTGCCACCATTTTGTGCAGTAATGGATGATGATTGTAGAAGAATGAGTGTGAATAAGGAGATAAGGATACAAGATGGAGGCTTTGCCATTGCTTAGAAATATTCTAGTCTTTTCACACATGGGATGTATGATGTTATTGTGAACCATAAGAATTTATTGGCTTATATCATTTGTTGTGGAGAACTAGCCGGGAATACTTTTCTAGCGTGAAGTTAATTAGTAAATTCTTTTAAGAGGAATTAGAGGACCCTGACCCACTTTCTGTTGAACATTCAATTTTTGTAATGATGGTCTAGCTTAATTGTAGAAGGATTTATTGATCCTTCTAACTTTACTTTCTGAATGACTTAATAAGTCAATATATATATCTATTCTCACATTTTGTTTTTCTTATGGTTATGATACGAAGTAGTCTACTTAAGAATTAAATTCATACTCGGACTAGTTAGCTTTGGTATTCTAAATTCCATGTATGCCTTGTCATACCCAGGACGAAATGTATTCCATCTAGGGGTGTCAATTCGGTTAAACAGGTTCGGGTTTGGGTTGGGTTTATCAATTTCGGTTTATAACGGGTCGGTTTATAATGGATTGAAATAATAAACGGGTCGGTTTGGGTCGGTTTTGAAAATTATCGGGTCAGTTCGGTTTGGTTTTTTTAATTGCAGTTTCTATTCGGATCGGGTCCTTATCGGGTCGGGTTCTAGTCGGTTCGGGTCATAATCAATTTGGGTTGAACTGGGTCGATTTGAAAACGGGTTTAGCCCATTTAATGTGGGTTTCGGTTAAAAACAGTTCGGGTCTTAATCAGGATAGGTCGTAATTGGTTCGGGTCATAATCAGTTTGGGTTTAACTGGGTCGGTTCGAAAATGGGTCGGTTCGAAATAGATCGGGTGAAATCGGGTCCAACCATTATCGTTTCGGTTATAATCGGTTTAGATCGAACTTGGTTGGTTTGAAAACGAGTTTACCCAATTTGAAACGGGTTTCTAATCAAATCATATCGGGTTAAAATTGAGTCGGATGATTATCGAGTCGAATTAGTCATATAATGGGTAGGAACGAGTCATGTTATAATCAAGTCAAGTCATAAATAAGTTGGGTTTATCGAGTAGTGGGTTGAAACAGATTAGATCATAAACATATTGGGTAACAGGTTGTAAATGACTCAGTCATAACGGGTTACGGGTTTTAAACGGTTTGGTCATAACGGGCTACGGGTCGTAAACGGTTCGGTCACAACGGGTTACGGATTATAACCGGTTCGGTCACAACGGGTTACGGGTTGGAACGATTTAGGTTTATCGGATTTTTATTGGGTTTTAACGGTTTTCGGTTTAAAACGGGTCGGTTACTATCGAGTTTAAACGTAATCGGTTTGGGTTGCTTTCAGTTTCGGGTTGTAACGGTTTGGCTTGATAACGGGTCGGGTTAGTAACGGTTTGCACAAATTCGGTTTAGTTCAGTTTCGGTTTGGAAAAAATTGGGCCGGGTCAGTTTTCGGTTTCCAAAAAACGGGTTTTAAACAGTTCAGTTCCTTTTCGGATCGGTTCGAAACAGTCGGGTTTAACGATTCGGGTCAGAAACTGACAACTCTAATTCCATCTCTTAAGTGGATGAGAATACTTGGTCTTGGATATGATCTGTGGAAATTGAATAATAAAAAGTTAGGAAACTAGATATATCCATGCAGGATACTTATTAGGAATTCATTATTATGAAGGTTTTGACTTTTGAGCTACAGAGCTACAAAGTTAGCTAGCAACTCCATTCGGAATCAATGACTATTTTACTACCTCCGTTGTCTATTATTTAAAATATCCCTTTGTTGCAAATAATAGTTAACAGAGATAGTATATGCTATCTTACTCTGCCCGTTACATGCTAATTTTCAATGCTTTAAGGTAGGGGTGTTTTATTTGAAGTAAAATGTTTTCATGGAAAATGATTTTTCCATTTCCCCGATTTTAATTTTTTTTATTTTTTGTGAAGAG